TAAGGACATCTTTGTTAATTAAAGTCTTAAGGAGGTCTTCCAGTTCGCTATTCCTTTCCGAAAACTTAGCAAACCAAGCGAATGGTCATCTACACTCCCTTCCCCAAACGCCTTACCGTTGTTTCTTGCAGCCTCGGCTGCCGAATGACCCAGTTTAAACTCGTGAAGCAATACTACAATGTTTATATTTGGATGTACACTAAAAGTGTGTAATGGATTGGGGAGCTCATCATTATAAACAAAAGTGGAGGATTAATTACTGCTTAATTATAATATGTAAACAATGGGAAGTATACAACAGAAAACCGCTATAGCCTCTCTGAATTTCTGAAAATATAAAATCAGACATTTCATGTAAAACAACGCAATACAAAGTAAGCTTTCTATTGGTTGGTCTGGGCCTGTTGTTTCAGGTCGTTAGGGCTGTTGAAAGACCAAGATTTCATAGTCTGCAGCCATTTCTGATGATCACCTATCCGATTGTCACAGTTTCAAAACCTATTGAATAAACAATGGCCGATTTTCGGTCCGTTATTTATTTTTGGAGTGACACAAGGTGTAAAAGCGGCAAAGTTAATATGTTTTGATCGCTCCGGGCACGAACTGTTATGACACGGCTTGCCTTCATGAAACGCGATGTCACGAAAAAGCCAAGGCAATATCATCGCTAATGGAGAAACTTGGCCCTGGATTAGAGTTTGTTTAGAGGTGCGGGGCCCACCGGGAGAGCCAAGTACGGCCAAGTCGTTAGCCGGGACTTTGCTGGGTAAGAAACGGTTATTGAAACTCCCCCCCCCTCAGACAAAGCCCCGGTATAAAACCTAATGTTAAAACGCGTCCTACACGATCTTCAACATATATCAGACACACTGAGAAATCTCTTTTTGGTAAATTCCGCTTCGCTGATATTAAAAGTTTTTAGGGCTTTTTGAAAGAGATGCCATCATATTCTCTCAACCGTGTCGGCATGAATCTGTACCATTATGGATAAAATATGGCCGAGTTCTATTTCTTAAACACCTGCGCCCTGTGATAAAGTATATTCGAAGGGATATTTCACGAAGTTCGGTCCAATAACATCGTAAATATTGACATGAAATGTCCGAGTTTATAGTTTCAGAATTTCAGAATGGCTGCAACGGATTAGGCGTTGACATGGCGCTCATCACTGTAAGGTAAAGGTCCCGGGTTCGAATCCAGCGGCCCTGCATTCGAACCCGACATACTTACAAATGGTTGTTTTTTTTTTTCAAAAACACTCCGTAGGGGGGGTTTATATAATTTCTGGTGTTGCGAACCCTCGTAAAAAAAGAGAAAAGAAGAAGAAATTCAAACAGGGTTTTCTGTTGTTCACTCCCGATTGTTTACATATTATAATTAAGCAGTTATTAATCATCCACTTTTGTTTATAATAATGAGCTCCCCAATCCATTACATACTTTTAGTGTACATCCAAATATGAACATGGAACACGTGATTTTCGTGTAGTAATGCTTCACGAGTATAAACTTTCCTTAAAAGAATATTTACTTAAAATGAAAAATGGATTGCATCAGCGTCGGTCAGGGCAGTGGTTAAACATCGACGAAAGACCAGGACACATGCCAAAACCAAATTTTCACCCAAAAAAATTGTTGATGATCGTATGGTGCTCCATGGCTGGAATTATTCACTACTCCTTTTTTTCCAGAGGTAGACCATTACTTTTTACTTTTTGACTCAACCAAAACCTTAATTATTTGAGTTTTGTTCATTTCCCCGCTAGTTGTATGTAAGTCGGATGTGTAATCAATCATTGAGCATTTTATCGGTTCGATCATTCCCAAAAGCGGTCATTTCCTCGTGTTTGCTTTCCCGGGACCGCAATGGGAACTTTTTTCTCTCCAGTTCCTCGGTTGCGCAATGATTTCTAATCGTCTCACATCCCGCGGTCTACTTTCATAACCGGTCCGCTAAGACCCCCATGTCAACAGTTTCCAGCTTTTGCTAATCCTAGTCGCTTTGCCTTTGGGGGGGGGTCGGAGTTTCAGCGTTTGCCAGAGAGATTTTGGTACTTTTGGACGGTCGGTAAGCCGAGATTAGGGGGTGGAGGCGGGCTTTTGGTTCGTGCCAGCGCGTTTGAAGGAAAGGATTTGAATTCAAAAGATTTTATAATAATCTCTCGTTAATCTTCTCATTCTATATAACATTTACATCCTGTTTTAATGTTAAATAACTTCCTCGAAATTAAAATCGATAATAAACCCTTCCTTCCACAAAACCACAATAACCGAACGATTTAGTTCATAACGATGCCAGACAAACCAAATCATTTCCTATAAAAAAATTACCAATACCACAACCAATATTCATCAATTTATATGGATCGTAAAAAAACGATGTACTAAGGATCATTTAAAAAAAATCATACACTTGAGATAAATCTTGGTTCACGGACATCATCAAAAATTAAAATTTACGAAACAATACATTTATTTTTTGCTCAGCACTGTTTTTTCTCAATATATCTCAATTATCATCATTCCTAAGTGAATAATCATCGTACATGACATCACCAATAATGAAAACTTACCTGGCAATCCATTCATTTTTTCCTTAAGATCGTTTTTTCTCGTCATGTCCAATTAATCATCATTCATCGGTGAATAATCATCACTCAGGCACATCAAATCATCAATCATCAAAACACCTGACAATCCATTCATTTTTTCCTTAAGATCGTTTTTTCTCGTCATGTCCAATTAATCATCATTCATCGGTGAATAATCATCATTCATGCACATCAAATCATCAATCATCAAAACACCTGACAATCCATTCATTTTTTCCTTAAGATCGTTTTTTCTCGTCATGTCCAATTAATCATCATTCATCGGTGAATAATCATCATTCATGCACATCAAACCATCAATAATCAAAACACCTGACAATCCATTAATTTTTTCCTTAAGATCGTTTTTTCTCGTCATGTTCAATTAATCATCATTCCTCGGTAAATAATTATCATTCATGTCATCAAATCATCAATAATCAAATCTTACCTGACAATAAATTCATTTTTGCCTTAAGATCGTTTTTCTCGATATGTTCTATTTATCATCATTCCTATGTGAATAATCATCGTTCATGTCATCAAATCATCAATAATCAAAACTTACCTGACAATACATTCATTTTTGCCTTAAGATGTTTTTTTCGTTTTGTCTAATTAATTATTCGTCAGTGAATAATTATCATTCCATGACCATATTGGACATGGTCAATAATTAAAAGTTATAAATCAATACATTCGTTTTTTGCCTCAACACTGTTTTTTCTCAGTATATCCTATTAATCATCTTTCCTATGTGAATAACCATCATTCATGTACAGCATCAATAATCAAAACTTACCTGACAATGCATCCATTTTTGCCTTAAGATCGTTTTTCTCGATATGTTCTATTTATCATCATTCCTAAGTGAATAATCATCATTAATGTCATCAATAATCAAAACTTACCTGACAATACATTCATTTTTGCCTTCAGATGTTTTTTTTTCCATTATGTCCAATTAATTATTCATCAGTGAATAATTATCATTAACGGACATCATCAATAATTAAAATTTACCAATCAATACATTCAGTTTTTGCCTCAACACTGTTTTTTCTCAGTATACCCTATTAATAATCTTTCCTATGTGAAAAATTATCATTCATATACATCATCAATAATCAAATCTTACCTGACAATAAATTCAGTTTTGCCTTGAGATGTTTTTTTCTAGATATATCCAATTAATCATCATCCCTCGGCAAGTACTTATCATTCTTGGACATGATCAATAATCAGTACCTACGTGTCAATACATTTATTATTGCCTTAAGATCGTTTTTCTCGATATGTTCTATTTATCATCATTCCTATGTGAATAATCATCGTTCATGTCATCAAATCATCAATAATCAAAACTTACCTGACAATACATTCATTTTTGCCTTCAGATGTTTTTTTTCGTTATGTCCAATTAATTATTCGTCAGTGAATACTGTTTTTTCTCAGTATATCCTATTAACAATCTTTCCTATGTGAATAATCATCATTCATGTACATCATCAATAATCAAAACTTACTTGACAATCATTCATTTTTGCCTTAAGATATTTATTCTCGACATATCCAATTAATCATCATTCGTCAGTGAATAATCATCATTCAAGGACATCAGTAATTAAAATTTACCAATCAATACATTCATTTTTTGCCTCTACACTGTTTTTCTTCAATATATCCTATTAATAATCATTCCTAAGTGAATAATCATCATTCACGGACATCGTCAATAAACAAAACCTACCTGTCAATACTTTCATTTTTGCCTTACCATAGTTTTTTTCTCGATATATCCAATTAATCATCATTCCTCGGCCAATAATTATCATTCTTGGACATCATCAATGTTCGGGGCATAGTCATCAACCATGGTTATCATCAATAATTACAATTTAAAAACCGATAAATTCATTTTTGCCTTAACAACGTTTTTTTTCAATATACCCAATTAATTATCATTCCTCGATACATAATCATAATTCATGGACATCATGAATAATATTAAAACTTACCTGGTTAATATATTCAATGTTCCTTCAACACCGAATATTAATTTCGACGTACCCATTAATCATCATTCCTCCGAGCATAATCATCATGAATAATTAAAACTTACCACTCTATTTAACATTCGATAAATTATCTGGGGTACGTTTTAGCATTTTCTGGTATTAATTTTCAAGCAGTTTTTCTTCGTTATTTATGTTACTTAATCATTTTCTATCAACGTTTTTTGTTATTCTTAACTTCTTCATCTTTGACATTCATCTTTGATAATTACAGAATAGACTAGCAGAGAAAACAGGTTTCATATTTATATGGGAAACATTTTAAATTTCTAAAAGTTAAATTGATTGTCAATAATTAAGTAGGTAGAGAGGTTATAGTGGTAAGTAAAAAGATGAATGGTAAGTAGGTTTATTAACACTATTTCTATACAATCAATTAATAATATAAAACCTATTTACAATCAAATTGAGGCGATTTTCGTGCATAAATACAGGCAGTCAGTAGTGGGGTCTCCATTTCATTAATATATACTTTTTATGAGATTTAATACAATCTTTATACAATTTTGGGCTTTACAGGGTGGTGGGAGTGGAAAGAACAACTTAAAAATCTTCAAAAACAATGGCAACAATTAAAAATACACTATACACATTTAATAATAATAAAAACATATACATTAAATACAAAGATGCAAACAAATTCCGGTCGCACGCTACTCGGGATTCGGTACGTCGTCGTGTGGGAAAGGGTAAAAGGCGTTTAGGCGAAAGGCACGACCTAAGCACGTTCGAAAAGTCCGACTTTGGAAAATTGGGAAAGCGATGTGATTTTTTTTTTCCAGTGCTCTGTGAAGAATAGAAAAAAATCGGCGATTCGATCTAACCGAACCGTTCAAAGACTTAGGCTCATATTGTCTGATCCGCACCTCGTTAAATCAACAGTGAAAATAACTTAAGACGTGCAGATAACGATTGATTTTTCTCCTTATAATAAATATAATTTATTCTTGTATACAATAATTTATAAAACTAGATTTTAAATTCCCAGTCGAAAGTTTTTTTGATGATATCTCTTTATCTCTCCGCAATCGTTATTTTTTTCTAAATTGGTCTCTTTTTCCAAAATGGAAAAGCCATTCCAAATCATGATTAATTTTCTTCTTTTTATAAATAAATTTCTTTTTTTTCTTATTTCTTTTAAATATATATTACAAGACAAGTCTATAAAAACCAGGAAATAAGATAAAAATTAGATTTAATCATTAAAAATAGATAATTTAAAAATATTACTTATATAAAATAATTTGTCTACATATGAGGATTTGATTAAAAAAATAAATTGAAACAAAAAATTAAAGCTTTCGAAACCAACGCACACTCTCGAGGACTAAAAGTACAAAGCCCCTCCGCTCTGAGTGGATGGAGGGGCGGATTTTAACAAACGATTTGTCTGTCCAAATTGGGATCAGTCAACTTCCCAACTTTACACGATATTTTGAAAAGGTAACGCTTTTTGTTTATCCGTATCATGAATTGAGGAAGGTGCCGGGAGGCTTAGAGGCAGGAGGGCTACCTCGTCTTTTTCTTGATCTGCTTGGCGAGTTTCCTCCTTTTGACGATCATCTCGTACAGGGCGTCCATCCCTTCGAAGAGACCTTCGCCTGTGATGGCGCACGCCGGCTGGACGACCCACATGTGCGCGTTGCCGAGCTCGTGGAGGCCGAGAAGTTTCTCCAACTCTTTGGGCTCCTTGGCACCCGGGAGGTCTTGCTTGTTGGCAAGGACTAGAACGGGCACTCCGGCGTTGTCGGGAGAACGGGCCGTCCTGGCCAGTTCCATCTTCGCCTCCTCCATCCTCTCGAGGTCCACCGAGTCGAGTACGAACACGATACCGTCGGTGCACCTCGTGTAGCTCTTCCACAGTGGCCGGAGCTTCTCCTGGCCTCCCACGTCCCAGACGAGAAATGAGATCCCTTTGCTCCGGCCCAAGGCGCCTTTCACCTTCTCGCAGTTGAAGCCGATCGTCGGCACGGTGTTGAGGTACTGGTCGAACTTGAGCCTGTAGAGGGCGGTCGTCTTCCCGGCCGAGTCCAGACCCAGCATCACGACGTGCAGGGTCCCCTGGGCCGAAGGGAGCGAGTCCAGGAACGACGAGGATTTACCCATGTTCGCCCCCATTCCCGTCCGACCCTTACGACTCCTCGTGCGACCTGAAACAACCAGAAAATCACATCAGACACAATCGAACTATTCTCAGTCATTTCGACACGCACAGATTTCCAAACAATCGTGTTAATTAGATAAAAAGGTCATAAAGGTCTCATACACGCTCATATTTTTAATCAGTTTGCCTGTATCTTGATCCAAAGAATAAACCGGTCACACGGTCTACAAAACTCTTTGAGCAGTTACATCACCAGAAATGCCATGTTCAATCAAACCCTCCTTCGTTATACTCTTTACTCTTTGCTTATTCATTTTTTCCCCAGTTGAAGCAGTTATCAATCATATGACGAAAAACCTTGGCTTGAACTCTTCTTCCTTAACTACTGCTTCCTTTCCTTTTTTAAACTCTGCGCCCCGTCGCCTTCGAGCTTTTACAGAGTTTTCATTCTTCCAAGCAGTGATCCATCTCAAGCCCCCACCGGAACTTCGTCACGCAAAATAATTAGCGTGTCCAGGATGGTCCAGGGCGGCATCCGGTCTGGATCCGGGGAAGAGATAAACAGGCATGTAATACAATTGCTTGAAATATTAAATACACGCTATAAAATAGTAGAGTTATAACTACTTGCTCTTCAATAGTCATCGTAATGCACTTGTTTCAAAATTTTGTAAGGTTTTTACTGTAACTTTCTCTTTTTTTATCCTTCTCTAGCTAGTTACCTGATTACCTTACCTATTTGCCAATTCTTTTCACCCATTGTTTGCAAACTCTTCACGGTACATTTGTCATTTCTTTTCGTCGCTATAGAATAGGTATCAAGTACTAATCTTCCCTAATCATTCATTAATATCATTACCATTGTCTACCGCCATTATGTACATGTAATACCTACTGGCCATCTCTATTTTACCTTCTCATCCTGACTAGGTGGTTAACATCACTGGCCATCCCTAACTAGATCACTACTACCATTAGCTGTCCAAAACCATCTGTATATTTTCCTTGCCATCCCGACTGGGTCTTAAACAAATCCAGTTCTCTAACCATTGTTCAATCATTTCCAACACTAGCCATCTTCCTTATCATCCCGACTAGGTTGTTACCATGGCTGACCATCCATAACCATCTCCTCGCTTTCCTAACCGGGTCCTAAACAACACGGTTTTACCATTTCTAACCATTTCTACTTTTCCGTGTCATTCTAACTAGGTTATTACTACCATTAGCTATCCACAACCATCTGTACGTTTTCCTCGCCATCTTTACTGGAGTACACTAACCATTCTTCAATCATTAACTAATTTCTACCGCCATTATTTTTTAATACTCAAACTAGTCTAGGGTATACACGAAAACTAACAAATCGACTGTTTATTGACCCTCTTTAAACATAAATTTTTCCCCAAAGAGCAAAACACGAAATAATGGCAACAACTCACTTAGGATATACTAAAAAAGGAAACTTTTTGTAGCAACCTCGTGCTGAACATTACCGAAACAAATTCGTCTCTCGGCACACGGAAAATATAACATATCGACAATTTCAAATTCATATGGATAATTTTAATTGCATCATAGCAAAACTTTACGTTATTGAGTGAAAGAGTCCTCTTCCTCCCTCATCGCATTCTATATGCCCACGGGTGCTGCGGTACAAGAAAAGCTCACGGGTGACACAATTTCTTTTTTCTTAGAGTGAAAGTATCGTTCATTGTAGGGAAGAGGGCAAAACTGAGGTGAACCAGAATAAATTGATTTTCCGTTTAGGTTTCCACGCGTCATCGCCTAGGTCAATATCATTCCTAGTACACGACGGCATAAAACTATTACAAAAAATTCTTGTTGGTTTGTAAACATATGACAAGGTTGAATCCAATCGGACAGCAGCTGAACAATATTTTTGTTTACTGATAAATCAAAAGATAACACTGTGTCAATATAGATAACTACTTTTTCCGAGTGATCTGAGCCTCTTGAAATACTCGGTTTTCTTTTCGTTTATCTCGCTCTGTCAGAAAAACGGGCGTTTCCGGGATAATTACGATAGCTTATCAAGCAGGAGTTTTTTTGTCGGACTGACTCCCTATGGTCACGACCTCCCGATATCGCGTAGGTGTCAACTGGCCTATGATCCACTTGGCTCCAGTTTTCAAACGTACACGTCATGTATCAAAATTACACAAACGATTTGATCCTTATAGCTTATCCTTCTTATATTCCCTCAAACTTTATTTCTTACTGTGCTTTAACCAACCTTCTTTATCATCACTAACTCTAATAACCATCTTCCCTAACCATTTCTTAAGATTACCTATTTTCTACCGCGATTATGTTCAATAACAACACTGCCACCCTACCATGTTTTCCTTGTCATCCCAACTAGGTTGCTAACATCACTAGACGTTTCTGAACCTGGATCCTAAACAACATCTATCTCAATTCTAATCACCATAACCATGAACCATTCATAGCCATCACTAAAGATTTCTAATCAAAATACCCACACTAAACATTACAAGATATTCCTAAACACCATGAAATATTCACAACATACCCTAACTATTTATAACCATAACTATGGTTAACTCCTGACCGTTCCGGCCTATTCCTAATTATTCCTACCCAAAAGCCATTCACATCCATCACTAACCATTCTTATATCAGCAGTATCTCTAACTACAAACTATTTTCAACAATCAACCGCCATTCCATAATCACAAAACATTGCAATCCAACACTAAACATGCCAAACCACGAACCATTTTCATCGGTTAAAAGCCATTCAAACCATAATAATCTTCTTTATCTCTAACATCGAATCATTCTTATCNTACCTAAATCTAACCAAGAATCTACATCCACCCATAATCACGAACCATACCTAATCTTAACAAACCATTTTACCTAAATCTAACCTACCTAACTACAATTCATTTCCAACGAACAAAAACCATTTCAAGCCATTATTAATCATCACAACCTTCTCCATCAATACATAACCAAGAACCACTCCCGACCATTATTAACCATCATAATCTTCTGTATTCATCCTTAGTCACGACACGTTTTTATCTATCGCGAACAGTACCTAACGATTCCTTTCTAATCTAAAGCCATCCTCACCATTATTGCCTTCTCTATTCATTCCAAACCATGAAACATGCTTATCCAGCACTAACCATTTCTAACGGTCACTAAACAGTGTAAAAACAGTATGCAGATGTCATTGTACCTAACCATGAACCACTTACAACAATTTAAAGCCATTCTCATTCATCATTAACCACCATTACCTTCTCTACTCATCCCCAACCACGAACCATTCCTATCCAGCTCTAACCATCCCTATCCACGTACGATTTCTATTTTCCTTATAACCCTAACCAGACAGTATTAATTTTTCCACGACATTCCAGTTTCCCACCGGTAGCCTTTCATTACCATCGGTTGTTCTCATCTTCGCGAACTGTTCTTAACATAAACTAATCTTTACTAATAATTTCTGGTGTTCTTATTAGTCCTGGTAATCCCTGATCTTTAAGACCCTGTTACTATTTAGAAATGTCAGTGAAAATCCCACAATGTTTCTAACCGAGCCTATTTTCTTCTAAGTTTTGAAAGTACGTTTAACAATTATTCCTAAGTGGGGTAAAATGTATTAAAAAATGTATTTTCCAAGAGGGAAATTCCAGTTAGTAGGTGTAGTAATTTTACAACCTTTGACAGTGATGATAAAAAAATTTTTCGCCGATCGACCTTATTGTGTGACTACAATGCAGTATAATGTACTTATATATATAATAATGGCGAGAAATCTTTTTTTAATATACATTTTAATCTAGCAGAGAGAGCGCGGTGAAACGACTTTCTCTCTTTAAAAAGCCGCCGAGCCGTTCACTTAAGCAAGTTCGACGGCTTAGATTTCATTAAAACTCTTTCGAGAAATATCGTTCCCGTTGGAATTTGAGCCCGGGCCTAATGAAAGGTCGCCCAGACAATGGGTATTAGCATTCGTGTCTTTAGGTATTCCAGCGTGGACCGGAGAAAGGCATCCAGTCGAAGGACCGATCGGGTCTTAGTTTGTCTTCGTCCGTTCCCAAAACAAATCACAAATAAAAGAACATGTCAAATTAACACCCAATGATAAAGGTGGCAGTGACGGACACCAACTTTTAAACAAAATAAAAATAATAAACTTTCTAAGTCTTTACGGTGATCTTATCTGATTTTGAGTGAAGAAAAAACGAGAATGTCGGGGCGAGGATGGCCGTGATATAGTTAATAAATAATTTCAATAAGAAAATCTGATTGACTATGGGTCAATAGCCATCCCGAAACCGTGGACAACCACTAACGAACAACTGCCATACATCCAAAACATCACCGACCATTCTTAGCCAGAACTGATCAACCCTAACCACCCATCATAATTAAACATTTCTAATCATCACTAACCTTTAATAACCCTCACAGTTTGTAACCATCACAAGACTTTCATGACAATCATTAAGCATTGCTACCCATGATTGACCATTTTTTACCACCACATAAACCATTCTTACCCAAAAACCATTCCCATCCATCACTAACCATTCTTAACGTGCGCTAACCATCCTTAATCACGAACAATTTCCAACAATAAAAGGCCATTACTATTCATCATACCAATTGTTATCCAAGCCGTCCATTCTTATCCAAAACTTATCATCCCAAACCTCGATCCATGTCCACCAATTAAAAGCCATTTTCAACCACCATTAACCATCATAAACTACCTTTTTCTGCTCTAACTACAAAACCTTCTGATCCAACACTAACCATCCCAAACAAAGAAATACTTTCAATAACTAATAGAAATTCCCAACCAGTAATAGTTATTGTAGCTAGTTTCTAACCATTAAAATCTTCTTTATCATGATTTAACAATGAACTTATCTTATCCAACCATCTCAAATTACTAACCATTTCAATTCAACCACTAAAAGTAATTCCAAACCATCATTAACCATTAAAAACTCTTTTATCCTGAGCTAACTACAAACC